CCGTAGAACATTCACAAAGGTATAGTTTGATGCCCTACTAAATCTGATCCATGTCATTTCAGTGAATGATTGAGGTAATTACAGGGAAATGTATTGATGTGAAGTGAAGATAGAGGAAAAATTGAGGTTTTCCAGGTTCTTCTCAAGTTCAATTAAGCTCTCAAAGAAGAGGAAACATATCACACAAATTATTTATCTTCTTACGACACTCACTTCCTGAAGCGTCTGTCTAATACACAAATAACTAATTTCTCACGTCTTCTCCTCCGCCCGTGCAAATGTTCAAAAGATTCTGCAGTTTGAAACTGAAATGCATCGCATTGAGCCTTTTAAAAGTTCCAACATTTTGCACTCCTTATTCTTCACAGCCACTCACACATAACATGAGCTCACACTGCCTGACGAAGATGAAACATTTTGTCAATGAAATGGAATCTTGAAATGCACGAGAGTTTGTTTGAAGACACAAGGGTGGATGGGTAGAATTAAAATTCATGCTCCTCGGCACTTCGCGCGCGCCCCCCGTCCAAAAGCAGAGGCGAGTCAACATGAGTAGTGCGAGAAGAGCAAGTTTTTGAAAATGCTGTTCACATTAACTTTGTGTATTCATCATTAAAATTATAGGTATGATACATTATTCTTCAGTCTATACTTAGAACCACTCTTTCTCACTTTCTGTTCACACACAAGCCATAGTTTTATCCATAAAGTCAAATAACACACGTCAAAGCTACATGTAACACCCCAACTCCACCCGCTCTCCGAAGCTAAATCATCCCATGTTGGGGCTGTTAGTCATGGGTGAAAAGTGGAGGAAAGGCAGCACAAGAGTGACACACAAGAGGATCGTGCATGAAGCGAGCGAGAGAGAGAGAGAGAAGTCTGGGTCGCTCCTGTGAACATTGTCAAAGAACAAAAGGTTATTAAGAAATTTATAATTTTGAAATTTCAACTTGTATTTCATATTTCTCTCTTTCTCGTTCTCTCCATTTCGCACTCAACTTAAATACAATTTTGCCCCCATTGAGTCTCTCATTTCATACAACCCCCCAACAATACACTTGCACAAGCGCCTCTTGTGCACATGCACACCATTTTCCACCTCATCGACTTGTGATTTTCCCACCTCCTCCTCCTCCTCCTCCGCCTCAGGAGAAAAGCTCCACGAGTGAGACAGACGGTATGCATAGTTGTACATATTTTAATTGAACGAGGAAGCTTTTTGCATATGAAATCACACTCAAGAGTTGTCACAGAGCACAAGTGGGATTTTTTGGACAAATCACATGAGTGATTAGCCTAATGTGATTGTCACAATTTTGCATTTTCCATTCACTGACTGCAGAAAATTCCAATAAACCCCCCACCACACAGCCACACACAACATATCTACGATGTTAATTCAATCTCACCGACTCAAAAGCCTCCAAGCACATTCACTACACATTCATCTGCTCTCCATGAAACTTACCGCTTCCATAATAAACGAATACACAAAAGTCGACGAAATACTCTCGACCCTTGGTATTAAAATCGAGCAAAAGAGAGAAATGCCTGTGCATTGTATTCCCTGGTATTTTAATGCTACATACGTTTTCATTTGATTTAGAATTAATTACAGAATGTGTAATAAACAGGGAGATTATTTGACTTTTGTGGAAATTTGTAACTTCTTAATAACTTTGCATATATGGCATTTTGTTTCCATCCCTCTTCACAGCTCCATTCTCTCTCACTCACTCACTCTCTTTCCCAAGCATCCACATACCTACAGCATATGTATGCCATCATGTTGGCGGCAGAGAAAAGAGAGACCTCAGCACACTCCATATACTCTTTTCCACCATATAAAAGAGAGAAAATATTTGCTAGCAATTGTAATAAACTGAAATATTGTAGCTATGTTCGTGGTGAAATTTAGTGGAGAAAATTTCAATCATGATAATTAAATTTCATGCAAAGAGACTTTGCCAACATTTGCTCCTACGCCAAACTAATTTGTGGCTGAGGTAGTTTCACGGAAGAAATCATCTAGATTGAAATTTTAATCCTAATTACAACCAACACGGTGAAGCACACAAAAAACCATACGAATTGCAAACACTCAAAGATACAGAAATCAACCCTTTTTCTCTAGACAGAACTTAATCTGCACATAGAAAAAAAATCACCCTTCAAATAATATTCATAAAATTATTACAGACGTGCAGAACAACAGAAAAAACCCCACCAAAATTGCCATTGTGGCATTTCAGACAGACAAAAAAGACTCTTCTAGACTGACCACCGTCAATTTGTTTTATTTATGGCCATGAAATGTAGAAAATTGTGATGTTATTAATGTTTTCAGTCTGCATTACACTTATTTTTCCTCTTCACAAACACACCACATTCGTGCAATCCAACAAGTGACCACCGAAAAGCAAGAATAAGGCAATTTATTGCTGCAATTTGCCTTGTCCTATGAGAATCCATGGGAATATCATAAGACATTCCCATATTGTCAGTGGACAAAGAGGTGAACTGTCTTATAGAATGTCACAAAAGCATCTGTTTCAGATTTTCTACGCTTGAAATCGCCCCAACAAGGTTGATAAAAGTCTCATCTTCATGTCAGGATAAATATAATACATAATATGAGGCAAATTCACATTAAATGAAATCCTTTTGTACACATATCTCACGTTGTTTCTCGTTTGACGAAGGCTATTTTATAATAAATTCCTCTTCCGTGGATAATGTTTGTTCAGAAAGGGAAAAGGCCAAGAATGAATTGCGATAAATGCGATGAAATTTCCGTGAGGATTCAATGGTCAGGTGTATTTTTGGCTGAAGAACTAATGAGAAATTAATAAAATCTCCCTCCTGTTTTAACCTTTTCGCCCATTCATTTAATAATTATAAATAATTATTCATATTTGACCATACACACACACACACACATTGCGCCACGCATGTAATATATTTTCACCCATGTGAGCAACAATACAGCTTCTCACTCCTGAAAATTAAAAGTGATGCGTGGAAGGAAAATTCACCATTTCCCTCGGCATACAAGAATGGAATATTATACACACCTCCACAGTCATTTTATTATTAGCAAAAGTGGGCCAATGGTCAGTTTGAGCCCTGAAATTATTTGCTGTATGACCAAAATCTCCTCTCAATTCCACCCCCTCGCCACTCACTGCGCCCCATCGGACCGGATAAAAGGGTGTACAAGTTGAAGACCACCCACTTTTGGCCTCTATCATTTTTCGGGAGGTACAACAGACACCCATTATTGTTCACCTTTTTGGCGCGTTTTCCTTTCCTCACTCTCGCTCCCCCCCCTCGAGAGCATGGGCATTTTCCACGGACATTCATTTGGCCACCCACCCTCACACCCCCGTCCATCATCAATTTTATACGCACACAAGTGATTCTCCCCTTCATATGGATATTTAATGCCGCCAGAGCGGACCAGTGTATTGGCCAAAAACCTCTGACTTTATATTCAACATATTATGAATAATAATATCTGGACGAAAAGCATTCTCTCTCCACCCTCAAAACGAAAAAAGACCGGGAGAACGATGCCTCAGAGATGCTAAATCCAACCCCAGATGAGGTGTGGGAGTGGACAGAGTTCACGACATATGATCGCCACATTTTACACGCGTGTGCCAAAGTGTAGGACTTTTCAGCGGACGAGGAGCAGATCAAAGGAGCAATTCTGAGTCACACACAACAATGTTATACTTCAACAATGTTAAGTTTAACAATCGAAATGAATAAGGAAAAACAGTCCTTGCTATTCACGCTAAAACAATGCTTTAGAGTTTTAAGCGATTCCACAATGTGTAAGAGAGGAAAAATGGTGAAATTTGCCTAGATTATTAAAATTCGAGTAAATATTTAGTAAATCTACGATAAAAAGAATTTCCTGCGAATATCTTTCATGTTTATGCCTTAAAATGGGAATCACAATCACAGATTGATGCATTTTTGCAAGATATTTGCAGATTCAGTTCTGTTATTCTGTTCTTTACACATTCAATGTAACAACTTCTGGATGTCGTGTTAATATTCTGACATTCAGGCGAATGAAAATAGCCATTTTGAGCCTTACATGTGTAACTCAGAATAGCAAAGGCGTGTGTTAAACCAAATTAACACAATTTTTACATTTTGTGTGCGGCTGAGAATTGCTTCACGAGTCAAGATTCAACCCTTTGACGAAGTCAAGCTTCCGGGCGGGAAAAATGAGGCAAACCGAGATGAATGAATTCACAAATCACGCATGAAATTCTCAGCCAAACGGTTTTGCTCTCGTCTGTAGTGCAGAAAAGGGACACTGGAGCGGGAAGAAAAGTGTATGCGAGGAGGGAATGAGGTGAAATGGTCACAGGATGTACAACCTCAATTCAATCTAAAGCGAGTAAAAAAGCCAACCCACTAAATGGACGGTCAAACTCCGCACCCAAAATAATGTATTAAATTATAAATAAAATATGGTCCAACGAATGGGATTCCTTCTTTTCACTCCTCATAAATACTATAATACCAACATCACTCATTTTCACATTTTATTTCCAACCGAAAATTTTATGGCAATGCGTACACAAAACCTCCATAAAATTTATAAATATGTGTTGTTACATAATAGCAGAAGCACTCGCACTTTGCAGGTTCACAAAAATACATTCAAATCCATATCAATAATTCAATCTCTACGTGTTAACATGTGAAAATATAATCATCAAGTCCAGAGCAGAGAATTATCCATAAAATTAATCATATTTGCATGTTTAGAAAAATCACTACCGGTCACAAAACAGACAAAGAGTCACGGAATTTGATAAGACAGAGTGGAAGTAATTTGTTTGAAAACAGAAATTCTCAGACACAAACAATGTGAAGTTGGAGAAAAAACTGGATTTCCGAAGGTTCTTCTCCAACTTCCTCCAGACAGTATAAAAGCAAGTCGCTATCACTTGCGATTCATCAGTTATTGCCCACCTTGAGCGAGTCGCGAGTGAAATTGAGAGTGTTATAATGAAAGTGCCGCAGTGCTTGAATACTGATTTCTTCAAGACAGTCGTTCGCAATGGATTTCACTTGACGGACTTCCAAATTGCTGATGCCAAAATTGAAATTGGCACTTCAGCCGGCGACAATTACTGCAGTACAATCTATCGAGTGTTCCTGAGCATCATTGATAGTCAGGCAAATCACCAAAAGGTTCAGTTTCTCATCAAACATCTGCTCAGTTCAGACACTGGTGAATCCCTGATGAAGTTCATGCACACATTTGGGAAGGAAGTCGATATGATTAAGAATATTATGCCGAGGTTGACGAAAATCACAGGTGGAACACAATTTGTCGCAAGGTAAGTGAGGAAGAAAGCAATTAATATTCAACAAATTATGCACAAGTGACTTCTCACTTGACAATTTGCAGATTTTATCACTCCTATTCAGAGCCACAATCGAATATGATTATCGTGCAAGATCTGAAAGAATTGCAATATCGAATGGCTGATAGGAAAGAAGCACTCGATTACGATCACTGCTGCGTTGCACTCACGAAATTGGGTCAAATGCACGCCGCCTCGATGATCTTGACTCAAGATAATCCGTCTCTCATGGACAACTACAAATTTGGCATTCTCCACGGATCGGAAAACAATCCGGGTCTCATTCAGCAAATCCTCGGCGCAAACTATCCAGCATTGTGCAAAGTGTCGAAAAACTGGGTGGGTTTTGAGGACATTTCCCAGAAACTCAACGACATGCAGGACAAATTCTGGCGAATTGTCTATGAATGTCAGCTGGGAAAGAATGACAAATACAAAGTTCTCAATCATGGTGATTTTTGGATCAATAATTTCCTCTTTAAGTACAACGAAGAGACTGGAAAACCCATCGATACACTATTTGTAAGGTTTTTTGAACTCCACAAGCAACTAATTGATCAATCTAATGCGATATTAATTACAGGTTGACCTTCAGCTTTCATACTACGCCTCACCAGCCAATGATTTGCAGTACTTCCTCAACACCAGTCCACAAATACAAATCCGCCGACATCAGCGAGAAGATCTGCTTCGCGTGTATTACAAGTCATTCCGCCAGACACTCAGAGAGTTGAATCACAAAATCATTCCCACATTTGACGATCTTCTGGCAGAAGTGCGACAATGGGAAATGTTTGGCTTCATGTCGGCCGTTTTCGTCCTTCCACTCGTCCTCATGGAGAAGCAATCGACACAAGGGAGTGGAATTGATGGCCTAGTGGATCCAGAAGCGGTCCAAGAAATGACCCAAATCATGTTCTCCGGGAAACGCTTCACCGAAGCAATGCAGGAAATTCTGCGACGATGTGATGAAATGAAACTCTTTGATTCACTTTGATTGACATGCAGAGTGAATGAGGAAGGTCAGATAATAGAACAGTTCCAGAGAATGGATTTAGAACCTTGCTTTAATCGTAAAAAAACAAACAAACCAGACAGAAATAAATCAAAATAAAATTTACGACTTGGTTTGCTGAGATGTCCAAATGAATATCTCATTGATATGTTTTATAAATAAACCACTACAACTCTACAAACAACACAAACACGCCGTGCAATCAGCTCAATCAGCTGTTGAAGTTGACGAAAAGTAACAATTAATTATTTAAATGTTTCAATTCAATATCTTTCATCTTTAGTCATTCCTATTTAATTATTCTATTAGCAAAGTAAATAAATTAACATGTATTTGAAGGTATTTAATTGATCTTGGCGATATTCATCACACAGACAAAGAGAAACCAACGAAAATTGACGAAAAATGATGCCCGAAAAATTAGCGCCGCGTATAAAAGTGTGGAAGCGAGTTTTTTCCACTGTCAATCACGCTCAGATTTTTAGCAAGTTCACATCTCAGACATAAGTTTATATCATGATCGTTCCGGAGTGTATTAATAGATCATTCTTTGAGCAAGTTCTCAAAAGTGGCCTCAAATTGCAACACTTTCAACTGCTAAACTTTGACATTCAATTGGGTTCCTCACCGGGCGATAATTGGTGCAGTACGATTTATCGCGTTGTGATTAATTATCAAGATAAAGATGGAGGAGAGAAGAAAGTTCAGTGTATTGTGAAATATATCTTGAACAGTGACATGGGAAAGCAATTGATGGCGAGATCTCAGGTTTATGAGAAGGAAATAAATATGCTTGAGAACATTTTGCCAGCGCTAAGCAAACTTGCAGGAGGAGTAATTTTTGGACCACGGTAAAAAGTCAAAAATCAATCCAATTATCATCAATTTCTCACTCTCAAAACATCAAATCTGAATTCCTCAGATTCTACTACACAGTTCACGATGACCAGGCAAAGATAATTGTTATGGAAGATCTCGGAGAAATGGGTCTGAAGATGGCAAACAGACAAGAACTCCTTGACTTCAACCACTGCGAATTGGTGCTCAAGAAGCTCGCCAAATTGCACGCAGCTTCCATGATTTTTGCCGATGAAGATCCCACTTTGATGAACCCCTTCAACTTTGGCGTCTTGGATGGATCAGTGGAAGATCCGGGCTTAGTTCAATCGTGTCTCAGTGGAAACTTCCCAATGTTCTGTGACATTGTGAAAACTTGGCCCGGATATGAAGACATCGCCAAGAAGATGGACAAGTTGAAGCCCAATATTTGGGAACATTTTTACGACAGCACGAAAACAAAACACGATGGCTATCGAGTGTTGAATCACGGTGACTTTTGGATCAACAACTTCCTCTTCAAATACGACGAACAGACCGGAAAGCCCATCGATATTGTGCTTGTGAGTAGACAAAAAATGGGCGCCATTAAATTGAAATTATGTTTATATCTCGCATTCAATAGGTGGACTTTCAATTCTCGTACTATTCTTCACCAGCGCACGACCTTCAGTATTTTCTCAACACCAGTCCAACATTAGAGGTTCGAGAGAATCAGCGAGAATCGCTTTTGCGTGTTTATTATGACGCCTTTCGACAGACACTTGAAGATGGGAAGCAGAAGAATATTCCCACTTTTGACGATCTACTCGAAGACATGAGAAAACGCGAAATGTACGGATTCTTCTCAGCCTCACACATTTTTCCCGCCGTTGCAATGGAACGCCAATCTGAGCAGGGAACCGGAATTGATGGTTTGATCGACGAAGAATCTGCTAAAGACATGGTCAAAATCATGCTGACAGGAAAGAGATTTACAGAAGCCGCGAGAAGCTTCTTGAAGCACTTCGACACGATGAAAGTTCTTGATTTGTAACCATTTCTATGCACAATTATGTTTTATTCCAAGTAAATTTAAGTGTTCAAACAGAGCGGCAGCTTTTTCACACCTTTTTTTCTCCACATTCCTCAAAGTTCATGCTTTGCGTTGCTGATATTTATCGTTTTTCGGGGTTTAGGCTGCTGTGTTAATTCAAAATAGCCAGAAAAACTTATTTATTACTGACACAAAACACCATTTTGCAGGTGATAATGTTCCCATTAATAGCCCAATTGTGAATTTTATGCTTCAAACCCGCGCCACTTCCGCAATTTTGGGATAAATTGTGAAGGAATTGTAATTAAAATTACTGACTATAAAATATTATCTCAAAGCAATGCTTCTATATGTGTATCGAAGGCCGTCTCTCTCTATCTTCTGGGGTTGTGGGCTGTTTTTTGATAAGTATGCGCAACTTCTTCTTTCCCATCTCGAGCTGAGAGAGTTTATCATAAATATTTATTTTTCACACATATTACAAATGTTGAACGCGCAATTAAGCACAAACGGTGTCCTTTTTAACGGTGAGAAGAGTAAGAAGTTTCTGAATGGGCCTGAAAATCCAGAGGACGCAAAGTGAAGAGATTCTGTGTGCCATTTGCCAAATATCATCGTGAGTGGGTGAATGTAGATTTGTCTTTATGAGTGCTTTTGTTTCTATACACTCTCCATAAATTATTTTGTATTATAATTTAAGATGTTGGATGCTACCTGAAGACAACTGGTGGGGTTGCAAAACTTCTTATAACTAATGGCTTTCACCGCTTTAGCCTTTTACATTCATGCACAACAAATCTCATATTTTCATTTTTGGGAATGGCGGTGGATTTTCCGTTTTTCGTGGGTGGCGAAAGAGGCAAAGGGGTGACGAAAAGTCGCCGTGAAACGTGTAGAAAGACAAGCTTTTGCTGAATTTTAAATTCTTTACACAAGTTTTTGAATTGACATTAGTCACATAAGACCCGATAGTCGTTCATCCCTCGCAAAGGACATGAATTAAGGAGTGTCCACTGGACTTGTCCGTAGTCAATCTGAAGTAAATGATTGGTTTGAAGATATTTCTAATGAACATGAGAATTTAAATACTGTGTAACCATTTGCAAGACAATTTGTTGGATTTGTCTGACAGAAAATGTCTAATTTTCATTAAACAAATGCAAGTAAAAGTCACATTTTTCATCCCAAAATATAAATCACACTTTATAGTATCCAAAAGTTGACATCTTTCAAGAAAACTCCGGTATCTTTGCGTCATAAATGCTATATTACATTTCCTTAAAGACATTCCCAGGACAAGTCATGACATTTTCTAGAGACATGTCATACAATTGTCATAAGTTGCAAAATACAATAATTTTTGGCCTTTTGCGAGACGATTCGATACACGGGCAATTTATCAACCATAGAGAAATGACATAAGACAATCCATATAAACTCACTAAGGACAAATCCCTAGAGATACTGAGACCGGTAAGGAACTAATCGCAGGACTGTCATAAGTCATGAGGAAGCGTGATGTACAGACTGAAGAGAAGGTGTATGTTGATGAGACTTATGAAATAACTATTAGAAAAGGAAGCTTTTTGCGTAATTTCTGTATTATTTTTTCTTCGCAAGCTCAGAGGCTTCAAGAGGGTGGAAAAAAGAGTCCGGCCGAGAGCAGAGAGTGGATAGAGCCATAAAACACAACCGGTGTCACCGCCATCCGGTGTCAGTTCGATTTTGTTGCAAACACACCCCATTATAATGTGTATAATGCGAATGGAATACATAGATGGGGTGGGAATGAGTGAGAGACAGCGCCTAATGACCTCCTATTGAATAATTACAACACCTTAATGCCTCGTGGGCGTCCAATGAGTTTTTAATGTCGCCACACGAGGCGCTCAAGTGTTCGCCTCGTAATATCGAAGACTTTATCATTTGTTTGCAATCAATTACTAAGATTACCGACCAAAACGATGAGAGGAGAATAATTATATTCAGTGAATTTGTACACAATATTGTCATGTAGGAAAATTACACAAAGGGAAAAAAAGAAGAATACACTGGTTCAGTGAAGAATGAACCTTCTTTCTCTTCCACATGAACATCGCGCGAGTACAAGGAAGAACCACCCAAACCCCTTCTTCGTGAACTTCTTGAATGGCGCAGGAAAACTCCATGCAGTGCACCGAAAAACCCCGAGAAAAGGCCATTATAGCAAATACAGAATTCAACCAATCTTGCTTATTTTATTTAATGGCCAAACTTTAGACAATGTATCAAGGAAAATTTTAAAATATATATTCTCATCATATATGCCACAATGAGAAATACACATACACACACACATATAACATTTGGAGAGAAGGAGAGAAACGATGTTTCAACAAACAACAAGTCATTAAAAAGTTGAAAGAGAGACACACTCATAAGAACATTTCGAGATTTTACTCCTCTCCTAGACTCTTCCCTTTTCCCATGCAATTCTTTGTCAATTCATTGTTTGCCATTCTCCACATCTTTTCCCCAATCAAAACTGTCCTCTGCACATTTCCACACTCATCATCATAACCTCGTTTTTCGGCAAAGACCCACAAAATCCACGTCTGCCGTTATAAATCATTTCGCCACATTTAATGGACTTCCAGAAGAGATCAACAACCAAATTGTCCTTATTTGCAAATAGCCTCAAAATACACTTCGAGTCTTCAAGACTTCTTTTCCCTGCATCGCAACAGAGACAGAGAGAGAGAGAGAGAGAAGTTCCTTAATTTGGCATGAGCAATATTCACTTGAATTAATGTTATTGCCATTGTATGTAAATTTGCGAAAAACATTTTATACCTCTTTAATCCTCAACATGATTAGTGAAAATACTTCTGGTGAAAGAGTTGCAAAATATTGTCGTGCTTCTACAGTTGAGAACAAAAAGAAGAGATCAAATGCATGAAAGGTGGGAAATTTGGAGAATGAAGAACTTTATGGGGAAAAAATTCGCTCAACAGAATTGAGGAGATTTGTGGAGGGATTGGAATATTGTAACACGTAATATTAAATATTTATATTCCACATTCTGTTGTTTAATAAGCGTAAGAAAAGCATTGGACATTCTTAAGAGAATCGTAAGACAAGTATTGGACATTCGTAAGAGAATTTGAATTACTGTCAATAGAAAGTCTTTTGACCTCTACAAATGCTGCTAATTATAGACTATAATTAATGTTTTGAACACATTGAGAACTTAGAAGAGCTTTTACGCACTTCTATACATATTTTTCCAATTTTCCAGCATTGAATTCCTTTCTGCAACACAAAGTAAGTAACTTTGCTTTGACTTGTCGCGCAAAAATCTCTGCCTATATCCATCTTGCGAGACAATAATGGACAGGAAGCAAAAGAACAAGTTCACTTTCCCATTCTCAACTAATGGCTGTTGATCTCCCGAAAATCTTACAGTCTATATGCCATTCATTTTAAAGAAGTCCACAGGAGCAGGGACAAAAGAGCACCGAATGATGATGACACTCACAGTGGGTGAGAATCTCTATGCTATACACACGACTTTCAACTTTTGCCGGGCAATTGTAATGCTTGGATTATAATATTGTGTTTTAATGTGCGACAAGCACATTAAGAGCCATTAAAAGAATTGTTAATCTACAAGGATCTTACTCTCCCCAGCATCCCACCAGAGAAAAGCATACAGGGGCAATTTCCACTCTTTCTCCCACTCCATAACTACTCTCAGGCATTAATAATAGGAAAAGTACCCATATATACTCCTCGTAGTTTTGCATGGAGCAAAGTCCAGGGGTATTTTTGGAGCTTTTGCTCACTTATTTCCACATTTTGCCACTTTTTAAATATCCCCCATTCTCACCCTCTCTCTCTCTCTCCCCATTGCGCCGCATGGCTAAATTATGTTAAACTACAATAGTGAGCAAATTCATTTTTGACTTTTATCCTGCGAAAAAAAAGCACACTTGGCTTTAAAAGCTAAGTAGAGAGTCTGGGAAAAAAAGAGTGAAGCAAAAGGGGTGCAAATTCATCTCCACACACTCTGTGTGTGTGTGTTTGTCGCTATAGGTATTGCAATTTTGAGTAAAGAGAACGCGGGGACAATAGAGAAATAATTCTATAAATTACAAAAGTTACTCCTTTGCATTTTCCCTTTACTTATAAATGCCCTCCCTTTCCACACACTCTCTCTCTCTCTCATGTATCCTTGCACATAATTTTGTATTATAGTCAACTCTTTTGCTTTTCAACTTTTCACAACATACCTGCATATAATATTCTCCTTGCCATCGCCGCGATACAGTCCATTTGTGCCCCACCTTCTCGGTAATTCCAGCAGAGCAACACCACGATTTCCGCTCACAGCCACGAAATTCCCGTCCACCGATGGCGCAATCCTGTTCACAGTGAATGGCAAACTTGCTGATGGAATCAATGTCTGCAATGAGACAAGAACGAGGCAAAAAAAAAGTCACATTGCGCGAATGTTGAGAATGAGGAAAAAGTGCTGAGTGAAAAATCAAATCACACACACACACTTTCCTGGAGCTGTGCAAAAATGGAGAAAAATGAATTTAGAAAGAGAAGGTGAGAAAAATTGCCACCATCGCCACACATATATGGATTTCTGCCGAGGCAAACACTATCCAATGTGACTCCTTCGTGCGCAATTTTCCACACAATCTACAGCAGGACAAATGTTATCAATTTTTTTCTGTTATATCAACGTGTCACGTCCACGATATTTCCCATTCTTGACACTCTTTTTTATGTGTGTGTGTGTGTGCAGTGAATGACATTTATTTAAATCTCCCGTGCTTGATTCATCAATTCACATTAAATGTGCGCGGAGTTTTGTATAATGAGAAAAATCTCCTCGATTTGCTCGATATTGTTCAAAAATCACTCGTCGAGAGTATTCACTCGACCTTTGCTGAGAAACATTTCCTCCCTCATTTGCGCCCCCTCCCCTCCCCCGTTCTCCAACCCAGAAGAGAGATGAAAGATCATAAAAATAAGAGAAAAATTCTTACAAAGCACTAAAATTTCTGATTTAATTTTTTCTCCCACCTTCGTCATTCCTTATCATTTGGATATCCTCTAAGACTTGAGCAAAAGAGCAAGCAAAAAAGTATATATCAGTCGTGTGGGGTGGTGAATAAAGTACAGGACACAAAAAATGTTGTATTCGCTGGCAAGAAAAAAAAACACACCTCAAACCACCCTCAAAAAATCCTCACTTTTCCACCTTGGCTTCTCCTGTGCGCGCGTTAATATCATTCTTATCCCACCCCCTCGCACTCTCCACGGACGGATCTACAGCCCCCGGAACGCTGAAGAGCGTGAGGAGAGGAGAAAAAAAAAGATTTTTCATTAAAGGAAAATGCAATCAGAAACTCACCGCATGACAACACGGAGATATATCTTTGGTATTTGTTTTATTTTTCATCCCACGCCCCCTTCAAACAACCCATGAAGAGACTGTCTTGCTGCCCCACCACCGCCGTCTGCCACCCCCCGGACATCCCACCTGGCAGACACTCTTCGTGTACTTTTTTTTTCTGTACAACGCGATACTCTTCATTCATGCATATACATATATATTTCCCTGCTCCGCACCGCTAATATTTGCTTTTATTATAAAACCACGCGATTTTTCTTTATTATGTTTTCTTATCATTACAATCGCAAATAATGAAACGGAAAGGAAATTCCCCGCCACCCACCCCCTGCCCATCCACCCTCGATGGTGCGACGGTACAAAAGCACCATCAAAATACCTATTAACCTGAAATTAAACGTCTGTTTTCATCGCCTCGAGCCACAAACACGCATATCATTCATTTTCTAGTGTCTTCCTGGATCATCTCATCCCATCCGTGTCCCATTCTTCTCAAACGTCCTCCAGCATTGCGCGCGCGATTTTTGTCAGGGCTTCCCATCCGCCCACATTTGAATTTTGCCCGCCACAGCAGCGCGCGTGCAAGAAGCACTCATCTAAGCGAGGATAAAAAATTGATACGACCAAGTCTGTACTTAAAATTAAATTGAATCATAAGACAATATCTCTCTTTCTTGTATGAAATTCTCATTTACTCTCCCACACACACACACACCGCGCGGCCCTTTCGCGCTGCAACCGCACGAAGATGCCCAATATGATAAGACAGCGCTGAGCATCCAGAGAAGCCAGCGATGGAGAGTATAATTTAAATTGAAAAATAGAGATAGGCAAAAGGAGACCCGCACGTAGATGGATATTTTTATTTCGTTCCAATTATTTCTCAGCCCCATTCCCCGAAGACGAGCATCACCTTCTGCCAGTTTGTGATAATATCAATGTCATTTTCCGCTCTCACTCTCTCACTCTTTCTCTCTCTGCTGAAAGAAGATAATGAGAATTTTTTCCCACATTCGCTGAATTTGCTGACATTTCGCCAGTACGAAGAGAGACATAATAATTCAAAGTATAGAGCAATGCCTCATTGCTGATTCCCATCATATTCCTATACTGACAGAATGTATTTTTTTTTATTGTAATAAGCATAATTTTCTTGATAGGAGGAAATTGCTGGAAAATAGAAAATACCCTCCGCGTCACATCTCCTTCAAATCCACTTTGATTTTCCTTATTTGCCACCCACAAAAAATACACGCACACTCCAATTCAACAGCGCAGAGAAAAGAGAGATAAAAACCATGGAATTTCATCGCGGAGCGGATGAAAAATGCCCAGACGGCAAAAAAAAGCTTCTCGACCAAAATTAATAAGTATTATCATTTAAGTTCAATCAAAAGACGCTTTTCCGCGAGAGAGTCAAAAGAAGAAAAGCCAGGCAAAAACAGCTTTGCCACGCCACAATGCGACGGAAGACGCTGAGGGAAATGGAAAAAGCTTAGTGAGAATTACAGAAAAATAAACAAGGACAAGTCGATAGACTTCTTGGGGTGGAGAGAGAGAAATTTCTAGGTCAGCTTTTCTTAACACATGGAAGATCTATTTTCTTCCCCCTCCGGAAAAACCACCACCATCACAATGGCTGGACAGTCAATGGTGTGCTTCTCAAACTATTCCACTCGTCACTCTGATGTCCTTCCGGGAAATTCCCCGTGGACTCCCACGATAAAAAGCAATGGTAATGATAGGGAAAGATGTGCGCCCTTTCCTGGGAATAATTCCAAAAGACAAGAATCACTTCCTCCCACCCCCAGAATTCTGTCTTTTCATGCCATTTTGCCCATTTCAAAATTAGAAACAGCGAGAAAAAAATCTTTAAACACCCTCCATCTCTCATGTCCTTTCTGTTATTATCATTTTTTTTTTCCCCGACACCCACAATCCATGAAGTATTTTTATACATCCCGCGCGCACAAGAGGGATGATGGGTGAAGCTTCTATCACTTCTAATGGCCGCAGGTTATATAGCAATGGCAGGAACTCGTCAAATTGTGAAACTCTTCTCAAATTACATCGTCCATGCCCTCCGCCGCGCCCGCACGCCTTGATGAAGTGGATGGGCTGGGATAAGAAATGGACGGGCAGCGAGAAAAAAATATCTCTCTCTCCCACACTCACGAATATTAACATTCTTGTCGAAGACTATAAGAGCCGGGAATTAAAAATTGGTGATTAATTTTTACGCCGAAAAAATGCAAATGGCTCGAGAAATACGCTTCTTCCGCACCCACGATTATATTTGCGCCATCACTCTGGGGTTGGAGAAAAGGACCAAGAAATATCCCCTTGTTCGTCCTCTGTCGAGATATGGACGTGAGTTGGGGGAATTGCGTAAATCTGTTATACTTTCTCTCTCTCTCTCTCTCAACATCCCTGTGCGATTGTAACTTTCCTTCGCAAAACCCTCACCTCAAAAACATAAAAATCCCTATTCTTTGAGCCTGAAATTTTTTCTCTCCGCATCTCTATCTTAACCCCCTTTTTCACTCAGAATAAATTGTATTATTGAAGCGGGAATTCAATGGACTAAATGATCATCATTAATTTTTCTCGCACTTCGTCTCAAGTTGAGCGAAAGAAACATTCACAGCAACACATTTTGTAGTCAAGAACTTTTGACGCTATGCATTTTGTTTACAGCATAATTTACAGTGACTCCAAATTAAATGGATCCACTTGAGACTGTCAAACATATCGATGTGTCGCGAATCAATAAAACCACGTAAGCAACATTTCAATTAAACATTTAAACTTGTTTTGGGTTCTTAGTAAGTTTTGAATAAATTCGAGGTGTCTTTAGAATAATTGTCCTGTAGATTTTCATTTTTATTTGTCAAATCAAATTATGAAAAAGACACTAATTCAGGGAAATAAACAGAAGAACTTCTTATTCCAGAAAGAGAATTTTGAGCGTTATTGACAGCGAATTTTTCGGATGTTTCAGGCGAATTCCGTGATGTTTGCTTCTAAGATCCACTAAGAATTGTTTCTTAAGACCTCTTCAATCCCTAATAAGACCGTGATTAAAAAATTCGATGAAAAAGGAATTCAACACAGCGACAGAAAGAGTATCGATGCATTGATTGCAAAAGCATCAAAATGAAATGAAGGACACCAAAGAAATCGTTATCAATCAGATGATGAAAATTTTATTGTTGCAATCTAACATTTCGACATTTGTGACGTTTTAAACTTGCCGGCAAATAACCCTGCATCTCTCCCATGTGACTCGTTGAAGCACTTTGCTATGCCTTATGTTCTTCCTCAATGACACAGGAATATTAATCCACCGAGCTCGTAATATCACTCTCACACCCGCCCCTCAAATGCACATATAAATTTCAATGAGTGTGAATTGTGTGGAAAAGTTTAAAAAATTGCCCATCTTAAATTGCATGGAATTATCTTTTCGCCTCCCCGCGCAAAACAGCGCGTCAGTTCATTCCACTTGTGTGACATGCTGATGCAAGCCCAACTTAATCATACTTTAGAACATTGCCCGCACCTTAGGCGAGTATTGATTAAAAAACTTTTTATTATTATTTTATTATTTTCCCTCTATCGCCACCCAACCCCACTCGCACACACACACACACACACACAATCTAATCTCTCCCCGTAGTATTGCTCATTGGGGATGAAAAATGCCGTGAAATCCCCAAGGGAGAAAATATTGAATGGGTGAGAAGAAAATAAAAAAGTTTTCAAATCTTGTTACAGATGAATTGGCTGCTGAACATTCTCATCCGCGTGTGCACGGTCAGACAAAGAGAGAGAGAAGCATTTATTAAATATTCCTATACACTGTGAATAAAGCAACTTGAGCAATTTTCACTCGCAGCCAAAAATCCTACACACACAACATAATTGAGCTCTGCACGATGAATGCGAGCTGGCAAGAGATAAATCGCACCGCACCAGACATAAACTAACATTCCACCAATCGTTAATAATTTACAATAAATCACAGAAAATGGTAT